GTAACTGAGCTAATAGTCTATTCATAGTGATTGTTAAATATGAATTCACATTTGAAGACAAGTCACAAACTCCTGCCCAGCTGATTTCCACAATGTGAAAGAAGAGGGCTAGGAATACATTTATTATCAAGATATTAGAAAAGTAGACTGGCAACGAATCTTTCTCAAAATATAAGGTGGGAAGTGACAGAGGAAGCTACTACATTCAAATTCTGACCATCACAGGTCACTCACATACAAGTGCACTCAAACACACAATCACATACGAACACACTTAAAAAATAGAATAGAAAATTAGAATCCTGATTATGAGTAAAGTTAATAAACTAATAAACTGTAGTGAAATAATTTACAACTCCATGTCATTCTATGACCCTTAATGTTCTTCAAAATGAAATATTTATCTAAGTTTTTAAAGTGAAAAGTAAAATTACAAGCAAATTCACTGCTAGTAGTACCACCACAGCTAGTTGTTGTCATACAAAAAGAGAAAGCTTGAAAAAGACTAAAATATCTGTAAATTTTAATAAAAAAGTATGTAATTAATCAGAGTACTTTTCACCAAGGAATTACTCTGCAAGCATCTTCTACATACATTCCATAAAAACAGGACCAAACAAACTCTCAACACAGCCTTAAGCATTTCTAGGACAAATACTTATTAAAGCGGAAACATCAACCTTTACAGTTTGTTTTGGGAGCCTCATCAGTGTCTAAGTGAGACAATTCCCAATGACTGTAGGAGATGACATAACTAAAATTCTTAAATAGATGGTGAAGCCAATGTGAAGCAGCAGAGCGTGGAAACACACAAAGCCAAACACAGTGGCTTACTAGATAGAATATGAGGGTGAGGGTGAACCATTCAACCCAGACCAGAGGAGCTGGAGGCCTTGCTGTAACTTTGGAAAGGAGAAAACTAAAACACTACCCCTCCACTTCCTGTGTTAAGTGGGTTTTATCTCTCCAATACAAACACCTTTTCTTCCTCAGTAATGAAGCCTTGGCTTGCATCGGTCTGCATGGTTTCATGGAATAAACCACATTGCTTCTAGACATGATCGTGTGATAAAGTGTGAGGGACAGCATTATGTGTTAGCACCCAGATAAGCTCATGAGACAATACGTATTTTTTTTGCCTCTTTCTCTCTATGCTCCAGGCATTGTGGTGCAAGGGAGAGGGGGAGTTTGGCCAACCATCTTGGGGAAAAGGTACTGTCTGTTCAAACAATTATTGGGTTTGGTTTTTTTTTTGTAACTCAGAAACTAATACCCTCAATGATATAAAACTACATTCTTGTATTACCTTGAGATTATGCAGTTACTCAACAAGAAATGGATGAAAATGAACAGGGCCTGCACTGGGCTGTCCCAGGTCCTCTGCACATATGTTATGGCTTCTAGCTTAGTGATTTAATGGGATTCTTCAGTGGGTCTCTGTTTCTTGTGCATTTTCTTGGGCTCTTTTTCTTCTGTTTGTTTGTTTTGTCCAATTCCAATCTGTTGGTTTTTGCTTTTCTTTAGATTTTATTTTACTATTATCCATTATCCACTTTCTAATAAGAGACGGAAGGGGTGGATCCAGAGGGGAGGGGCAGTAGGGAGAAACTGAAAGGAATAGGGGGAGGGGAAACCACAATCAGGATATATTACATGAAAAAGGAATCTACTTTCAATAAAAGGAGAAAAAAGAGAAAATACTAGAAAGAAAAGCATTCTAGAAGAATAAAACACACAGCTGGGATTCCTACACTTTCCTCCCAATTTCTAAGAACCAAAGAAAGGAGCTTAATTTTTGCTTCTGGTGTTTTTCTTTCCCCTAACAGAACAGTTAGCAGTTAGTACAGACAGATGAATCCATACATTCAATCACTCATTCTTTCCTTCACCAAATACGTGGTCAGCCCCTACTCTGTGCCAAGTGCCAAGATGCCCAACTATGGCACAGTCACACACAGCACATGTACTGAGCTTTAAGTAAAGCTACCATCTAGTTGAAAGGGAGTAGACAGTCAGTGGGGGAAAGTGCACAGAACTGCACTCTTCTTCCCCTGAAGACACCTCACCATCAAATACACAGCCCGATTCTAACCAAGCTCCTCCTTGAAAACGGAGGCCCTAGAAGTAAAGGCAGAGCTTAACACTTGCTGCTACTCTACCAAATATTTCTTTGCATCTCTGTGACATCTGTGATGGGAAAGGTTTATCCATACTTAATCCTCTATGCCAGGAAAAACTCCTTGATCTTTTATATTCAACAACCTGAAACTTACTGTTAAAGAATGAATCATAGAAATGACCAAGACAAAGTGGATTTAGGTGAGAAATAAGCAGAGACTCCAATATCATAAAGAAATAATAATAAAAAAAAAAACCTGCAAAATTTGGTATCCGAATAATATAGGAAGCCATATATAAAGATCCAAGTTAAGAAAAGTCTTTTGTTTTAATTCAGTATGTAGCTGAACATGACCTTTAACTTCTGATCTTCCTGCCTCCACCTTCAAAATACTGAGATTATAGGATTATAGTACTGTCTGTGGTGTGTGTGTGTGTGTGTGTGTGTGTGTGTGTGTGTGTATTTGGCAATGTTAGGGACTGAATCCAGAGTCTACCACATGGTAGGTAAGAATTATACTACTAAGCTACACCACAATCCCCAACAAACTTCTAAATCCTCCCAAGCACCAAATGATTTCTGTTTCATATCCACTGACACAAACTAATCCTGGGGACTATGCAACTGTGGATATCAAGTTTGATACACATGGGTACAAATGACTGCAGCACAGCAGGCGACAAAGCTGCATGTGAGTCTGAACGATTTAACAACACGATGAAAGGATAAACCAGTCGAGTGTAAAAGAACAAGTCACCTGAGGACAGCAGTTACCTAAAAAACAGAGGAGCAAATCACCTAAGGACAGATAACAAGTCATGTTCCACTAATATTTCCCTTAATGCAATGATGTATACTGACAAACAGCTTGAACAAAAATGGTTTTAGTACTTTAAGTGATCAGATTGGAAAGGTACTATACACGCAGCTTTTTATGAAATCAGTGTTTCAGACACTTAGGAATCCCTAGAGCAAGGTATTCATTCCATGAAGTGATTTATGCCAATGAAAGGTCATAATGAAATATACTATGTAGCAATATAAAGCAACTAGTAAAATGTGTACGTATATAAGTTACAATGTAGTATAGAATAAGCAGCACATATGACAAAGTTATGACACAATTTTAAAAGAAAATATGAAATATATTATAAATAGAAAATATTCATTATTAAAATATTATATTCAAATATAAATTAAGACTATAATGTTTTCAACATATATGATATATTGAAAGGTATTAAGTAGTTTAAAAGATTAAAAATAATCTGTTATGAGGTATCCATTGAAATGTATACCGAATTCTCAGGGAGTATCAAAATGGTTATTAAATACACTAAGTTAATGATGTTCATTTGACTTTTGTACCCCAAGCAATAACAAAACTAATAATCTTTATGATTTACTATTTACTGAAGGTTTGTTTTTGTTTGAGGGCTTTTGTTGTTTTTTGTTTGTTTCCTTTTTGATTCAGGATCTCTTAGTCCTGGCTGTCCTGGAACTATGTAGATAGACCAGGCTGGCCTTCAACTCAGAGATCCTCCTGCCTCTGCCACCCAATTGCTGAGGTCAAAGGTGTATGCCAGAGAACAAATGTCATGATAGCCTGGTAAACAATTACTTTGCTCAAACACAACAGAGCTAGAGACCAAAGACTATCATCTTTTTCCTCTCTGAAAATGCATTTTAAAAGACAGAGACCAAGTTAGTTTACTAGAAGTAACAAAAAAATAAACCACAAATGGCGCAGGTTAATCTAAGAACCTTTGTAACGCACCTAAGATTCTGGGAGAGTTATATCGCCATCTTCTACTAGATTCTCTTCCTTCAACATTTTGTTTTTATCCCTCCAAGTTTGTGTGTGTGTGTGTGTGTGTGTGTGTGTGTGTGTCTGTCTGTCTGTCTGTCTGTGCATGTCTGCTTGTCTGTGTCTGCCACATGTGCCTGAAGTCGAGAAAAGGTTGTCAGATCCCCTGAAGCTGGAGTTATAGGCAGTTGTGAGCCACCAGATATGGTGCTGAGAACTAAATTCTGATCCTCTGCAAGAGCACTCTTAACTCCAGCCCCTCTCTCATCAGATTCTTAAAAGGGAATAAAATCTAGAAATGGAGTTAGCACACTTGAGAAGTGTGCTCATTCTGTTATTTGCAGAGCAATTTCACAAGGCCAGAAGTTATCCCACAGCAAATACTTAAATACCAATGACTTTATTTCCTTAGTCACACTGGACTCTCTTCTATCAAAATCGTGACACCAGAAAACAAAAACAAACAGACAAAAAGCTCAAGGGTGACACCAAAGCCATCAAGTCAAAATGGCATTCTCAGAAAACTGTATGGGATTTTCTACTGCAGTAAAGAAAATCCTGAGACAGTTCCACTGTACACGAGAAGGGCATATGCTTTGCCTACAAACCTCTTCAAAAGCCATTCAAAGACAATCATAAACTGAACAGGGCCATTCATATCTTCTCTCTCAGAATCTTAAGGTTGAAATAAAAAAAAATAACAACAACAAAAAAAAACTCAAAAAACGCCACACCCACTGGCAGGTTAGCTAACAGGATCCTCCCCTTTTTCCTGGGGCATAGCTAAGGCAAGCTGTTAAGAGAAGAGATTAATTTCTGCCAAAAACAAAAAAATGAGGAGGGGGCCTGCCTGTCAGTTCTTTTTAATGGAGTTGCAGGAAATGAAAGAGTCCCCGACCTTAGAACTGCAGCCCCTTCCCTTTTGGTGAGAGTATTCGAGAGAAACTCAGCAAAAGTGGAAGAGGCAAAGGTAAGACCTGAACCTGCAGGTAAGGAGCTACGTGGCACTAAGCAAATAGTGGCTAGTCTCCCTCGCCCTCTGCTTCCGCCCCAATCATCTTCCCCTTTGGTTACCAGTTGCTCCAGATGCCATAGAGTAGTTCCACAAAAGCGAAAGAGAGGTTCAGGCACAGGAAGAAGAACAGGTTCCGGGATGTCTTGTCCGACAGGATAGACCTGGGTATGATACAGGTGATTAGAAGCAAGCAGGAGCCAAGGGGGTTGCCGGGACCCTGAAGTCGGGTTCCCCTTTCAAAACCCACCCAGTCCACATGCTCCTTCCACCACAGCAGGAGGGTGACGCTCCCATCCTGGACCTCAGGCCATCCTTAGCTCCCAGCTTTGTCTCAGCCTACTGGGCAGCCCCCGCCCAGCAAACACAGCACCCCGCACCTAAACCAGCCTGAGATCTTGCCGAACAGATTGAACTTGGGTGGTTTGTATTCATCATCCTTGATGGACAGGGGCAACATCTTCTCCACCCGGCGAAGGGCCGGGTCTCCGTCCCTCTAGAAGCGACTCGGTATGGTGGCGGCAGTGACAGCGGTGACGCCTCAGACGCGGACCCCAAAGCGCTTGACCGCCGCGGCACCGCCGCGAGACACAGACACAGACACACACCCGGGAATTCGAGGACTTCCGGCCCGGGCCGCGCAACGCGTCCTGGGACGGGAAAGCGGGAGGCGGGGGCGAGGGCTGCCAGGGGTGGGGCTTACGGGGAGGAGGCGGGGCTTGGGGGCTGCGGAAAGTCCGGGCTGAAAGCTTGGGGCTGTATCTCTAGCTGAGCTGGGGGTCCTATCTCCTGAACTCACGAAAGACAGCCCTGCTGGCGCTCTGCAGACGTGGCTGACTAGTTCAGGGCCCGCTGTCACCCACCCGGATCGTCCACCACCAACGTCCCCGGATGCAGTGCAGCCTGTTCCTGCCCTTTCAGCATTAACCCCCTAAGGACCTCAAATCCCCGCTGTGCCTTAGGCAGCAACACCGAAAAACCCAGGCGGCCACGTGCTGCGCCGCCACTGCGCGGGATGTGCGAGGATGGCTTCGCGAGGTCAACGCTAAGGGAGTCCACCCCACCCGCGGAAACCGTCACGCGGGACGCGATCGTTGAGTGCCTTGCAAAAGAAACACTTAAAGGTATTTAAAAGACATCCTTTAGGAAGAGGGCCATAGACTATGGCCTTGAGGTCCGTTCCACGCTATTTCTCCCCTGCAACCTCAATTGGTTGCAGCCCTGAAGTCAATCGCATATATTCTTTTAGCATCCTTGTCACCCCGAGACAGTAGCTGTCACTATGATCCATTTCAGAAGGTGCAGATCCAAGCCTGCTGGGTGGGACACCGGGACGAAGGGAGGCTGGGGATGAGCCTTGCGGGCCTAGACTGGGTAGTGTGACACTCCAACATCTTTCTAGGGGATTGTTTAGATAAGGTCGGCTGGCCAGTCACGTGAATGATTAAAAGTTGTTACCTATAAGGGGGAACCCGGAAAGAGGGTCTAGATTTGGGAAGTGGCTTGGAAACTACAAAACCGAGCTTCTTGGGAATGCCTTTTTTGCCTAACAGGAAGTGGAGCGTCACCCAAAGCGAGGGAGGGGTGGCCACTCAGGGACTGTCCCCTGCTCCAGGCACTCACTTTGCAGGCAGCGCATTTCCTAGGTTATCAATTGGACCGGCAGAGAGGTTGGAAGCCCCGTTTAGGAAAGGGGGTGGAAAAGAGGCAAGCAAAGGATTTCGGTTTATGCTAACCAAGCTGCAAATAAACCCGCTGGCCCCACTGCAATCTTCTGCACTAGAGGTGAGGCAACTGTACAGTTCTCTTTCGTTGGTTTTATTTTTCCATTTGGGACCTATGCCTGTTCTGCCCTCGTTCTTGAAACTTCGTGGATAGGAAGAATTTATTCTATAATTTGATTTTTGAAAATATGGCTTGAAATCTTTTGAAATGTTCATCTTTAAAAACAGTTGGTAACAAACGGCTTGATTCTATATTATAAGTTCTAGGACAAACCTGTCTTTTTTGTCTTTGCCTTTCTTGGGTTATTTGCCATTATTTTTATTTAGGCAAATATTCTCAATTATTAGCATTTACTTTTTAAAGGATACTTTTCTGTTGTTGTTTAGAACAGTCTTTGCATTCTCCCCTACTGCATTGCTGGGGAAGCCCTAACTGGTTGCGGACTAGGTCGTTTAAAGCTAAATAGCTATTGCAATTGATTTTTTTCCCCTTCAAGACAGCTTTATTTCATTATGATGGTAGGGATGGTTTATAGAAATAATCAAGTTTCAGTAACTGAGTTCCAGGCTTCTCATCAAGGTCAGCTGTGATATGAGCCTATGTATTTTTTTATTCTGTCTTTGGAAATAAATTCTGTATTCCATCTTGGACTGTTGTAAATCTGAAATTGCTTAGCTGGCCTAGGAAGAAGCCCACATTAGCCGTTATTGAATAGTTTTGAAAGACATTAAAGAAATTTAATTTCGGCTTTATCGGTTTCCAGAGACTCTTAGATTCATCTCCCTCAAGGTAGATCTTCTCTTGAGGATCTTCTCCTTTCTAACTGAGGCAGTGCTGTTTCTCATCCTTAGCCCTGGACAGCATAATAGCCAATTCAGCGTTAAAGGCATTTTCGTTTGCAGTATAAAGCACAGAAGGACACACTTTAAACCAGGAAAAGTTCTAGGGGTAGAAGTTGGTTCCACTGTGCCTCACTTTTTTTTGTAATCTTGAGATATTTGCCCTGTACATGTCAACCTTCGTACATGTTAACATATGCCCCACATGTTAACTAACATATGTCCCACATGTTAACATATGTCTCACATGTCAAAACTGGACTCAGTTATTTGGTGAGTATCTAGTATGTGTCAGGCTCTGTGTTGAGTGTCAAAACTATAAAGCGAGATAAGTCAGAGTTCTTCTCCTGGAAGAGTTTTATGGAGAGGACCAATTAGTGTAAAGAGAGGGAGGTGGGGAGAAAGACAAGCCCATCCATATTTTAGAATTGTGCAGTCTTTAAGTTGTGCACCAGAGATGAATGTGAAACAGTGAACAGAGACAGCCATTGCTCAACGAGCCTTTCTCCATATGCTCACCCATTCATTTTACTCCCACAGGAATTCTTATCATTAAAAAAAAAAATGAGTTGGGAGAATACTATTTTGGATTCCTGAGCTCTGTTTTAGTGGTGAGTGTTTAAGCAAGTCTGCAGTCAGATGAGGTACTTGGGAAGCCTCCAGTCATAGGCCCTTCGCGCATTACAAAGATGAAATAGCTAGGGAAGACTATAAAATAGATACAGTAACAAAGGTTCTTAAATGATTAAATGCATTTCTATTTTAAATTTTTGTGTATGTATTCAGTTAGTCCCTTTAGATGAATTGTGCACACTGTATGGGGCGGTGAGATGTGTGGTGGAAGATTGAAATATGAAAGCAGAGAAGGTGAAAGGACGGAAATTCCTCCTGTCCTGGGTCCTTTCCAGTCACAGACAGCAAGAGTGAGAAGGATGCCATCTGTCAACCTCAGGAATCTGTGTGGCATTTATTTGCAACCCTATTTTAGACCCATGGTTTATTAGATACATTAGATTAGTGTCCTGTGAACTGTTGGTTTAAAAAGAAGTTGTAATGCAGGATAAGAGTAAATAAAGATGCATGTGAGTCTAGGAACTGCCTAGTGATGCAAATTATATTCATGGTCCTTGGCGTCACTTGGAGATATGTGTGCTCTGGTTTCAAGTGCACCAGTTGGGATAGTCTCTGTTTACTGTCTCTGGACCCTCCAGAGAAATCTAAAAACAAAATCACTTCAGTGTTACCATTAGCCAACAAGAAAAACACTATCTGCTTTAGTTCCCAAATGTCATTTTTTAGAACCTAGAATAGCATTTTTTTTTTAATTTCAAAGTCACTCACAGAAAATTCTTTGCTATCTTTTAATAGTACCAAGAGAGCTTGTTCCTATGAAGCACTGAAGGCATAAGGAATGCTGTTGTAAAAAATTAATAATATGATGAGGTAAGTAACAGGTTCTGTCTCTTTAAAAAAACAACAAAAAAACAGTAAAAATACATATAACATAATGCAGCATCTTAATCATTCTTGCAGTTCTGTAGTCTCAAGTATTTCTATATTGTTGTATAACTGATCTCCAGATAGAACCATCCTCCTCCACCTGCTCCCAGCCCTCGGCAACCATGAGTGTACATCATGTTTCTGTGAATGCGGCTATACTAAATACCACATGTAAGTGAGAGCATACAGTAGTTGTCCCTTTTGTGTGAGCCTTTGTTTCACATAGTTTAACATTCCCTTTGAGGCTGAATTTAAAGTCCATTGTATGTGTATACCACACTTCCCAAATGGATGACTATTTATTCATCCATGGATGCTTGGGTGACTGGTTTGTTTGTTTTGTTTTGCTATTGTAAATATAATTTTATGACATTGGTGAAATACCATTATTTTAGTATGAGGTTGTTTTTTATTTGGATGTTGATGTTGTTGTTGTTGTTGTTGACAGGGTCTCACTCTGTAGCTTTTACTAGCCAAGAAGCCACTCTGTATGCATACCAAGTTGGCCTCTTAACTCACAGAGATCTACCTGCTTCTGGCTCTGACTATGAGTCCTTGGATCAAAGGCACATGTCAATGGCATGTGTCAACATACCTGGCTTAGTTCAGATTTTCTACATCGGTTGGTTTGTTTCCTTGAAACTAAAAGTTCTGGCAGACATGGAAGCAGTTCCAGCCCTAGGGAGGCTAGGTCATGAGGACTGTGGATTTGATGCCAGTCTTGGCTGTATAATGAGACCCTGTCTCCAAAAATGCAAATAAAAATTTTGGCTGGGACCAGGACCTATTAGAAAATACCATAATGCCTCTTTTAAGGTGAATCCACTGAAATCATAGTCCAGATGTTAGGATAAAATCAATACTTATGGTTTATTTATTTACTTATTTATTTATTTTAAGATGGATGGAAGCCTTTCTAGGATTGAGCCATCGTGTGTTGGCCTTTTGGCTAAGATTAAATGTAATATCTGTTTTTATCGGTTTATCTAAGGATTGAACCCGTGGCTTCACATACACACTAAGTATGTTCCCTGTCACTGAGTATCCGCTACCATCTCCATTACCTCTCTATATGCAATACTCTTGTTGTCTGGAATAAAGGGAAAGCAGAGTCCTGTAACACACAGAGAGACTACAGAGTGACTCCTGGGTGCGCTGGGGGTTTGATTCTGGCCCGCACTCTGTCTGTGCTGCAGGAAATACTTTTCATAGTCTCTCCCAGCTATCACATCTACAAAATGAAGTGTGCCGATTTTAGTTTTTTCTTCTTCAAAAATTAGAAATGCTATCAGTTGGAACCATTGTCTAACATGAAGGGAGGAAAGCTCGGGCAACTTGTGTTGCTAACCCTAAGCTAAATGAGGGCCGGAGCTATGTCTGCCTCTCTTTTCCCACAGTGTCAGGCACACGGTAAGAACCTCTAAATATTTGTTGACAGGATAGAGCATCTTGGACTGTGTGACCTTTCCCCAAGTAAAAAGCTCACCTGAATGGGAAGAATTCCATCTCAGACTTGGTATCTGAAAATACTTACAAGCTACGTTCATGTGCATGAATCTGTTTCTCTTCAAGAAGTGACTTTGGAAGCTGCTGAAAACTGGATTCAGCTAAGAGGGAAAGCTTTGCAGGACCATCCAGGGCTTTGTTGCCTAACAGTCTTGCTCTCCTCTCCCCCAACCTTCCAATTACTAAAACAGGTAGAGGTTCAAATGAAAAGCACCAGTGTCCCAAAATGGCAACAATTAAAGATTTGCAAGTGGACTTGACTTCTTTTTGACCCAGTTCTCAAACTAATTTTGCATTAGACTCTGCTGGGCTAAAAATGCTTTCCTATTTCTAGCATTGTGCTTAGTATCCATTGACGCCTTGCTTGGGTCCTTGTACGAGTCTGCAATGTTCTTCTTAGGAATAAGGCCACTCTTTGAGCCTCTTCTAGTATGCTTGCATTGGATTGGTCATCTCCCAACACATCATTATCATCTTAATCATCTGTAATTACCTGACGATTCCAAGAGAAAGGAGCGAGGCTAGGAATACTCTTTAGTTACAGCAGTTCACACCTATGCACTTTGACAGTCAAGAGGACCTCGTTGTGTGCCTCAGTGATAAATGGCTAGATTGGAGGGGCCAGGCTGTGCAGTATAAAACAATTTATACATGTTCATGTTTTATTTCTCCATAAACCGCCGATAATAAATTCTAGTTATTGATATTGGCTCCCGGGAGCTGGGTTGAGAATATGATGTTTTAAGGAGGAAGGGTGAGAAGGAATAGCAGAAAACCCAAGACTGATGAGCAGCTTTTGGTGCAGCCAGGCCAGGGAGAAGAGCAGAAAGGGAAATGGAGACACAGGTGCCTCATGATGGATGCCCTGCTTTGAAAGCTGCCAGTGTTATTCCCTCTTACTTGATTTATTTATAACGAAATGGCTCATTCAACCTGGCTTTCCACAGCCGAGGGCTCGGATATAATATAATCGGTTCAGAAATAATTTTCTTGCTGCTCAGGCTGAAGAATGACCTGGTACAGCAGCACTTACCCAGTCAAAGGTGATGCTGTATACATGGAGACTTTAACAAAGAGTGTTTCATTGTTTCTGCATCAGAACTATGGCTTCAAAAAACGTACTAAAGACAGAATTAGGACTTCTAAAGGATAGGGTTTCGGTGGTTATCAGTGATCATGTGTGCCTTTGGGCGTGTGTAAACTGTTACAGGAAAAAACTAGCTCACGTTAGCTCCAGGAGTCCACGACTTAGCTGATCAACGTTTATCAACTATATGATTGACTGTTCATAAGCATGTAAAGATCTCACGGCACATCTATGATACTACATGACCTCTTTTATTTGTATCTGTGTGTGTGTGCGTGCGCACACACGCACATGTATCCTACATTTTGTAGTTTATTATGAATACAAACTAGCAAAATATTTTTGGTATGTTTAGATTTGCAAAGCAAGTAACAGAAGTGAAGCTTCATTGGGATAAAGTGAGAGGACAGAGTGACAGAACATAAGAAGAGCTGTGTGACATTTCTAAAGTAACAGTGACAAGAAGGAATTCCTGAATATGGGCAAAATCCTCAAAATCTCCTGAGGTCGGAGAAACGGCTCAGTGTTTCTAAGCACTGGCTGCTCTTCCAGAGGCTCAGTTCCCAGCACCCACATGACAGCCTACAACCATCTGGCAAGAGATCTGACATGCTTCTGGCCTCTATGGGCTTCAGGCATACATATGATGCATATACACACCATGCAGGCAAACACTCCCAAGCATAAAAATAAATAAATCTTCAAAAATATTCTCTTCCTAAGCTACCCTAAAACACCCCCCCCAAAAAAAACCTTCAGATTGCAGTAAATTCTAGTTTATTTTGCTTAAAATTTTAATGGAAAAGCTTATTACAGGGCAATCAAGTCTATAATCTAATTACTTTTAAGAGCCCAAACTGAATTTTAATCTGTCAATGTATTCACTACTCTATAGCTCATAGAAACAATATTGATGGAAGAAGGATTTATTTTGACTCGTTTGGGAGGTTACAGTTCATTATGGGAGGGAAGGCATGGCAGAAGTGGCTCCATGGTGGTTGGACTGTGTTGCTCATAACATGGGGTCAGTAAGGAGACAGAGAGGTCTACTGGACCCAGAAGGGTCAATAACCTGTAAGGCCTACCCTTGAGTGACTCCACTTCCTAAAGGCTCTACAATCTTCTTAATGAGTACCACTACCTCCAGAACCAGTATTCAGTCACGTGAACCTACAGCTCAGGACCAAACTAACAGTCATGTAGGTAAGAATTTTCTCTGCTTAAACTTGGTCTCCTGCAAGCCTACATCAGTCAGACACTTCCTGGTTATCACTACCTCCTAAACCTCTGGGGAAAGGATGATGATATCTAACAAATGGTCATTCTCCCCCTTCTCCCAACCCAGGACAAATAGGTTTGTTCACCAAGAGTTTCTGTAGAAACTGAGATAATAAAAAGTATTTCAATTCAGAATAACCCCAGAAAGATGGGGGTGAGGTCATGGTTGCAAATGAAAACAAAACTAGCCAGAGACTCAGGCTATCTATTACTCAAGCACCTTGGCTACATCTTGTGCATGTATGTGTATAGAAAGAAGTAAAGCCCAGGTTCTGAATTGAGCTCTTCCTTCCGATTTGAGATGATTTTATCTCCTTGCAGGTGAACATCTGTATTCCTTCCCTGCACATCTGTATTCTCTAACCAAGCAAGTCCCAAGCCTGGTGTTAAAAGTAGGAAAGTGGCCTGGGCGGCTTGGGCTTGAGGTCCCATTTATGACTGTTTTGTCTCATCACCTAATGATGATGGTCCAGATCTTTTATGTAAGGAAACATTTTTTTTGAGTACCCTTTTGATTGAACCTAATTTATATTTGAATTTATTCTGTTAACTTTTTAGGCATCTGTTGTAAAAATTAGGGCAATTGAAAATTGCTTTATATGAGTGCTCTACGTGCATGTACACCTGCATGCCAGAAGAGGGCATCAGATCACATTATAGATAGATGGTTGTGAGACACCAAGTGGTTGCTGGGAATTGAACTTAGGACCCCTGGAAAAGTACCCTTAACCTCTGAATGATCTGCCCAGCCCAAGTTAGGGCAATTTCAGCATAGATTCCCTCAGTCCGTTCAACTATTTGGAGTTGCAGCACCGACTCAGACAGTGAGCCAGATGCTATTGTGATTCCTAAAGATTGCCACCAATTTCCTCAAAATGTTGCCACCCAGTAGGACAGTGAGATGGCTCAGCAAGTAAAAGCACCTGCTGCCAAGCCCGTCAACCTGAGTGCAGGCCCCAGGACTCACACAGGTGGAAGCCAGATGGTATTTACAAGAATTGAGTAGACGTTTATTCACACCTGGGAAGAAGGAAGTGCTCTGTAGGTAAATGGCAAATACAGAGACCAGTTT